GTGGGTGGGTGGGTGGGTGGGGGAGGCTTGATATAAATCTAACAAAGCAAAATAATTTAATTTAAAATGTAGTTAAACTCATGTTGGCCAATCCAATTAACAGGATTGCTCTTTAATCACAATAAATTTGTCCTCCTGTTGCTTCCAAATTACAATTAATGATGATTTTGGGATGATGTAAGAACCATGTTCCTGACTCTGAAGCGACATGCTAAAGCCTCAGGTTACGCTCCTGCTAAAGAGAAATGAGATCACTTAGAGGCGATACAATAGGGATATAAAATTTCTGGATTTGTTGCTGTAAAAAATACCATTTTTCTCATTTTTTTCTGGAAGAAAAATGGAAATATATGCAATAATTGTATTCATTTTATCCTTCACATATCTGCTTTAGGAACATAAACTGTCTTATCTATATCTTGCTTTACTCATTAGAAACTATCATTCTTGCATATTTATTAAATGCAAAGTTCTAATTCTAATTACACAATAATGTACATTTATTAAGTCTTAATTTAAAAAAATCTTTTGTTACAAATGAAAATATGAACTACTGAACTCTAAGAAAGCCTGGAACTTAATTTTTTTGGTTTAATTTGATCACATAAATAAGACTGAGAAGAGCAAACAAGCACAATACAACATTTAAATAGGATTATATATTGTCTTAAATTTTTCATGGCTTTACATTTTTAGAATTTTTTTTAGAAAAACAGCTAAGGAAATCAGGAAAAAACAGATTTCTTCATATAAAAATATTGCTTTTAAACCCGAGGTGTCAAACCCGATTTCATTGAGAGTTGTTTGACCTTGGGGGGTGGGGGTGAGTGAGCGTGGACAGGGTGGATGTGGCTACCTCAATGTCACTTGTTTCACCCGAGGGCTCTGCCAGCAAAAATGGGCTCCCGTGCTCTGTTTTAGGCTGCGACAGCCTCCTACGACTCTCTGCCAGTGAAAACTGAGCTTGGGAGGGCTGCGTGCAGCCCTTCCAAGCTCCATTTTCACTGGCAGAGGCAATGCAGACTTTGCTATTTCCAGGACCGGACCAGGGGCCAGATCTAAGCACCCCATGGGCCTGATCTGGCCCCAAGGCCTTGAGTTTGACACCCGTGTTTTAGTGACTGCCTAGTTTCTGAGCTATTATTACTTTACTACCAGTTTCTGCATTTCCTGAAATTTTATTTTTGCTCTCCCGATGGATTTCTTGTTCTTAACATAAGAGGTTTGCTCAACGAGGCAATCTTCATACTCTTTTACCTGATACAGGTAGTCCTCAACTTAACAACTATTGAGAAAAGTGATTTATGACTGGTTTTCACACTTCACAACTGTTGCAGCATCCCCATGGTCACCTGATCAAAATTTGGACACTTGGCAGCAGGCACGAATTTGTGACAGTGGCCGTGCCCTGGGGTCATGTGATCACCATTTGTAACCTTCCCACTTGGCTTCCGACAGGCAAAGTCAATGAAGGAGGCCAGATTCACTCAACAACCACATGATTCACTTAACCACTGCAGTGATTGCTTAACTTTCCCCTCAATATGCATATGTGACATGCTCTGATCTGGAAGGCCCTTTTTCATATCAAGGGGCCTTTCTTGACATGCACTTAACATGGTGCACATATTACAAGCAACATGTAAGAAACATGTTCTGGCAACGTCTTTCTTCTGTTGTTATGACCCAATGACATTGCTTCCTTCTTATGTCCAGCCCATGACTGCAATGGCTTCAGGTCATCATAGGATTTCCTCTCCTTCCTCCCACCCATTCTGACCTTATCCAAAAGCCCCTCAAACTGCAGACAATTTATAGGGCTATGCTTTACTGGGGATTTGGCAATGACTAGAAACAAAAATGATAAAATATGAAATAGCAGTGGGGATAGTACAGATTCCAAACATGCTTCTTCAGTTTTATCCAACTCGTGCACGAACATATGCTATCTCTGCAATGGGCAAGATTAATAAAAAGCAGGTAGGGCTTGCATCCCATTGTTTTGTGAGGATACCTTTCACGCAACTGTATCAGTTAATAAATGCATGCATATATTTTGGAGCAGAGTTGAAAGATCTACGGACCAAGTTATTAAGCCAGTTAATGTGGAAGCCTTGTCAAAATGGGTTGGAAACATCCCCTCAGACGTCCTACATGATATGCCAGTGATCGCACCGATGTTGGGGAAGCTTGGCTACGACCCCTATGGCAACCCACCAAATTATGGGAAACCGGATCAGAAAGTCCTTGAAAACACAAGAAGGGTAAATTGCCAAGTTATATTTGTGTATGTGTGTATCTTATTTTAATTAAAAAATGAGGTTGGTGCTATTGCAAAGTTCAGGTGCTTTTGTAGAATGTGTTGGGCAAATAAAAAAAGGGACAACTGTTTTTGGAAGTATATAAATCAGAGGTGGGTTGCTCCCGGTTCAGCCTGGGTCGGGCGAACTGATAGCGGTGGCGGCGAGAGGCTCTGCCCACCTGCCCAGATGCTTCTGTGCATGCGCAGAAATGTCACACGTGAGCGTGTGCAAACCAGTAGTAAAAAAACTGGAAACCACCAAAGATACAAATGGGACTGGGGGATTGAAGTCAATGTGCAAGTCACTGCTGTGTCTTTCAAAGAAGGATTGCATTTAGCATCCTCCCACTCAAATGGGTCTGGCATAGCACAGTTTCCCCCTATATGATGTGCATGTGCATTGGGATATTAACTCTCTTTGGCTTTGCTGCCTAACTGTTCTGGGATTTAAGATCCAATTCATTTAGAGGTTGGATATCTCCTCTCTCTCTCTCTCTGTTCCTCTATAGCAGGGGTGTCAAACTTGTGGCCTATGGGCCTGATGTGTCATGCACTGGCCACCCCCACTCCTGGTTTAGTAAAGGGGAGGAAGTTGTCATATGTCACAACACATCATGAGTTTGACACCCCTGCTCTGTAGTCTTGCAGCTAAAAGAACCATGATAAATGCAACATTTCAAACAGTACAGAGGTAACAGTAATATACAATAGTAAATACGTTGTAAAAATGCATTTAATTGGATACAAAAATAGCATCTAATGCTTATCTAACAATTGGGCAATGACCTGGAAAGAGAATGAATGAAATGTGCAAGTAAAAGTACTCTACATGGTTTTGTAACAACAACTCTCTTGTAGTTAAGAAAAATGAGTTAACTTGATGAGTTGAACTCAGCTCTTAGTGACTTTATAAATTTATCCTTCTCAAGTATTATTTTGGTAACAACAAGGCAGTGGTCTGCTTTAGATTTTTAGGAAGTCTTTTGGACTATCCATCTTAGTTTTTGAGATCACTCAGAGGCTATGATCTGCTACTACCACTCTACAGAGATTGGTTGACTGAGCTTTCCTCCTTGCCCTTCCTTGAATCTCTACATCTATTGACCCCCCCCCCCCAAAAAAAAGCTTCTTATCTGGGGAATCAAAGATTGTCAGTGCTGTAACAATCCAGTTTTGATGATACTTTATCTTTCCTTAACAAGTACTCTTTATAGGACTTTCTTCCTTATAAAAGCCTCTCCTGAACTTCAAAAGACCAAGAGAAAGAGTGTGATGTGGATTGGGTCATATATGTAAGCTGTTCCCTTCTGTTTTCCTGCAGCCCCTCTCTATCAGCTTAATACTTAGTGTAATACAATAATCTGATTTCTATCAGATATTTAGGACCACAACCAGGTATTGAGTGTAATCAGCCCAGGAAAAGTATTAATATTTGGAACATGGTTTCTGTTTCAAACTTTGTTTTCTTTCCTCCCAGGTTTATAAAGGTGAATTTCAGCTTCCGGACTTCCTAAAAGAAGTGCCACAGGTAAGGATTCTTGGGGCCCTCATCTCATGAAGTATCTAGGACGGGTGTCAAACTTACGTCGTCATGGTGACATCACATGACATATCGGGACTTTTTCCCCCTTCGCTAAACCAGGCGGGGGCATGGCCAGCGTGTAACAGCCCTGATATTAGTAACATCAATGACCTTCTGATTCAAGGGCCATGCAGTTGAATGCAATCAAAATTGTAAGTTAAATTCACCTGGTCAAATGATCTCTAGCTGGTTCAACCTGCAGAGTTGAGTTGTTTTCACACCCAAGTTTGTTTTTAAAAATGTATAAAAACATTTTGCAAGCTCTTATTTTGTACATTCCTCAGTTACCATTTATTATAGCTTCCCCCAAGCTGGTACCCACCAGATTTCTTTGGACCATTTTAGTGTATTAAGATATATGTCATAGTCCAAAAATGTTGGACTGCAATTATCAATAATCTCCAGCTGGCATGGCTAAAGGGAAGTTGAAGCCTTTTAGTGTGGCCAAAGGGGGGAAAATATTAAATTAGCTTTCATTGGCAACTTCACCCACATTTTGTGCAATTACACACTAGTTTCATGGGTGGGAGGAATAGCCTCTGAAACAATAAATGAGAGAACAATTTTATCCCCAGTGAACATTGACTTTCTTCTCATTGCAGCTAAGGAAGACAGTAGAAAGGAAATCCCATATCCAGCTAAAGTGAAGAAGGAGTTGATAAAGTAGAGTAGTATGTGTTATTTGTCTTCTTTTTTTAGAGCACAGCTGCTTTCTTGGCTGCAGGCACCAGAATTCCCACTGATAAGCTGCTGTTGTTTGTGGGCCTGCAAGATCTGTTCTGTCTCATGTGCAAACGAGCTATTTGGCTTAGCTCTGCACATTTTTGTTTTTTTTATCAATTTATGCTTTGGCTTGGCTGGCCAATGCTTGACTAATTTGCAGCCATAAATTATTTATTCCTGCTCAGGTTTGTGTGGTGTTCTTTCTCTCCAACGATCCTTAATTCTGAATTTTTGTATCTCATACCCCCAAAATGTTCTACAAATCTTGCATTTTAAGTTGCTAACCGGTTAAAGAGATTATTTCCATTATTCGTTGCATTTGATTGGAAAAGTTGTAAGAATACTAATTATTTTAGGGAAACATTGATTGGAAAAAAATCCACATGGAGCAAGAATAAAATAAAAATTCAGGTGCTGAGCAATCCAGTAAAAACTGATTATGCTCAGTCTCTGTAGAATGCTGATTGTGGAATAAACTAAAAGAATGTGAAGGGGTAGAATATTTAGAAGAAGTATTGATAGAAGAACTGAGGTGGCGCAGTTGTTAGAGTGCAGTACTACAGGCTACTTCAACCGACTGATAGCTGCAGTTCAGCAGTTCAATTTTCACTGGCTCAAAGTTGACTCAGCCTTCTATCCTTCCGAGGTGGATAAAATGAGGACCCAGATTGTTGGGGGCAATATGCTGACTCTGTAAACCTCTTAGAGAGGGCTATAAAAGAACTATGAAGCAGTATATAAGTCTAAGTGCTATTGCTATTGCTTGATAGCACTCCAAAGACATTTTCACCTTACAACTTTTGGCCACAAGCCCTACATGTTCCATTAACTGAAGGAATCAGAAAACATTAGCAAAAGAGCCTTTTAAGTCAAAAAGATGAGAGCTACCAGGAAAGTCTCATTTTCTTCAGGTTTGTGACATTCCTAGAAATATGGCTGACCACTGTTGAAAATAGAATGCCAAATTCCATGGATTACCCCTCTAATCCTCATGTTTAGTTTTTAATCCCCCACAAATTAAACATTCAGCTATAAACAGCATTGTACCACAAGGCAGTGTAATATCACATATTGATATTACTATATGATACACTACAACGCCTTTGTATTTTATTGCCATCAGCCAGGTCTTCATTGCTAGAATTATCTCAACCCAAGTTGGCATTTTGGCAAACTTGTTTTTTGTCTGGTAATGAATTTCATTTCAAAGATTTTAAACTGTTTTAGCTAAGTTTAACTCCAAGCAGATTACCTCTGCTGCCATTGCAGTAACAATGATATGCAATAAGGTACCATAACAAAATTGCATACATAATTATAAGAAAAATATAACTAATATATTCCTGGCAGTAGCAATTCTAAAGTGCTAAAATCTGTCCATAACAACTAAGTTTGGATGAGTTGCCAAAAGGCCAAGGAGTTACCCTTGCCTTGTGTGGGCAGGATTGGGTGGGGGGGTGTTTCTATAAATGTTCTTCTATGATTGAAGTCTGATTCTAGCCAAAGCTAAGTTAGATAGGCCCTTGCTCTGCTTTAACATGAAGCAGGTTTCTTTGGTCCCAGTGACCTGAAATTCTAAGATATTCTCCCTTTAAACATATGGAAATGGAAATGTAATTTCTGCCTAGGTGTCTGAACAAGGAGACATAGGTTTATGTTCCATGAATTTGTCTTACCCCTTTTTAAAAATGATCTGTACTAGTATACATTACTCTGATGTGGGGAGAAAGTCTTTTTGCATTGTAGAAAGAAGTCTACTTTATCCTGAGTTTATTGCACTATCATTAATTTCCACAAGGTGATGTAATGGTGTTCCAGTATTAGAAGTTGATAAAAATATTTTGAATTCAAGTATAGTTTCAATATACATTTGAAAAATAACACTTTATCCCCCTCCTTTTTCCCCCCAATAGACTGATGCGGTGAACTAGAAGAGTGGCTGTGACTTAACGTATGTAATAGTTAATAAAATGCACTGTTTGTTTCCTCATCCTCTTTACTTGCATTTAGCAACAGTTTCACAGTGTATATAATATTTATTTATTAAATCAAATTATTAAATTTATATGCCACCCATCATGACTAGAGTAACTTACTTTGAGCACAACCTTATTCTCGCTCTTCGAGCACAATCTATTTAGAAACGGTTTGTCACAAGGCCTCTTGAAATGGGTGCCTATGTGAATTCTAGCATAACTTTGCTGGTGAAGAAGAGAACCTTGAATGTTGATATATTTGAAAGCCGAATATGGTGGCGTTTCTTGGACGGAATCCCTTTTCAGTGGAATTTTCTGGTTCTGGCAATAAAAATGGAAATTTCCAAAATATTGCAGAATAAGAGCAGTTATACGTTATTGATATTATTATCATTATTATACCACTATTAATTCTGGTATTGAATAAGTAGTTAGAAGCCTTCTCTTTAAATGAGTCAGTTAGAAAAAAAATCAAGCATAATAGACATTCATGCTATTGAGAGCCAAAATGTACAAAGTGTACAAAACCAGTTTTCAAGATTCTGCAACCTGATCCTGTGCTCATTGCAATAAATCTGCCTACTCCAAATTTGTGAGAATCACTCTTTCTAAATTGTGAGTTGGTTAAAGGTTTTGACACCCTTTGAAGTGGAACCTCTCTTATTTGGGTTCTTATTTGCCACCAATTGGAGGATCACTACTACTAGCAAGGAAGATAAATAATTTGCTTAAAATACCACTTTGTATTGTTAGTAATGGTAGATCGATCTGATTTGTAGGCAGCCATCAGGCCCTTTGAGGGGAAAGGGTAGTTTTAAATTGCAACAGCACAATAGCATTTCTATTTTCCCAGAAACAAAATATTGCTAACTTTGGAAAATATGTGAGTTGGTTGACAGTCTTGGTTCTTCTTTGGAGAGTTAAAAATATCCTGTCCACTCAGTAGGATACATGGAGGTATTTTCTATGGCTGATTGCGCTTTGCATCATCCTCTAGACTAGCCATGTAAATTCGACAAATTACAGGACCAGTCCTGGAAGTAGCTATAAAGGTAAAATGGCCTCTGAGAAGAGCCTTACTCTAGTGGCCAGATGGAGATTAATGCTCTGAGAAGAAATAAAAATCCAACAGTCACAGCCACCTCAAAATTCCAGAAATTAACAAAATAATAATAATAATAATCTGTTCCAAATCAGAGCAATACTATTTAATAAAAATTGAGAGATCAATTGTTAGTGCAAATCTGCCCTGAGGACAGTGAAACAGATAAGATTAACGATTAATTTACACATTCTTGGCACACATGGAACTTTTGTTTAGATTCTTTACCTTGGACACAGTCTTGGGCCTGATTCAGAATATGTAAGTTCCATATGACTATGTATTGTACTAAGATTGGGAGACTAAATAAAATTAGTGTACATGTACAATGGACATTGCCCTATCCTGAAGAAATGTACTGAAATCTTTTGTTTTCTATTTGACTAGGAATGTTGGAGTCGTTTTAAAGAAAGCACGATGGCAAAATCTACAAAAATCTGTTTCCTCAGAATATGTCCCCATTTCATAATGACATGTAAACGGCTATCTTCCTTCTGAGAGCAGCTGTACTGAAATGCTGGAGATGTTTGTAGGGAATGGTTCTGGGAGCAAGGCATTAAAGTGGGAGGACTCCAGGTGGGAATATCTCCTGTATAAAACATTTTGGAGTTGTGAGAGTCGTGCAGTTGTGGTGTGCCTATTAATCTCTGTGACACTAATATACAGAAGATACATTGCCAGATTGACTCTCAAGCATTAGAAATTGCAGTGATTCCCATTTTCACAATTGTTTTAAAAACCTCAGAAGAAACTGAATGGTATATCTTCAGTATTGATTTAGGATATGAGATATATTAACTTTTAAGATGCTTTCCATAAGACTGCTAACTTAACACATTAGCCCTCATGCGTGAATTGCAGGGTGTGTCTATTTTGATGCATGCTGGTTCCTCTGTGTGCATATCTTCCAAAGGGATGATTGGCAGTCATGGCTTCATAAGGATGAAAAAATGAGGAATGGCCTGTTTAGCCCTTGCTTTCCTACACAAAATACAGGAAATGAACCACTGCACAGAATGTCTATGTTAATTCTTAAATACACCTTTCTGTCTCCTTTGAACTGTTTTCTCCACACGTAGTTCACATCCATCATTAGGACACCATACAGCAGACAGCTTCTTCTCTCTGTATTGTTTTTCCTTCCTTGAGCAATCATTTTTTAATTTGTGGAAAATGGTGCTTGTTCCTGTTGTCACCACACCCTTTTACCAATTTAGCTGATTTATGAAATTATGTTTTAATTATTTAAAAATGGTTTCTGAGATGCGAGAAAGAACTTGAAGGTTTACAATCCAANTCTCTTACATACCATTTTAAGTATACATTCACATAATTGTTATTCTTCTTTACATTTATCATTCTTATACATTTATTATTTCATTTAATAAGTTATAATGTACAGTTTGGGTTGCTTTATTTACCATCCCTTCCTCCTTTTGTAACACCTCCTTGTTTTCCCTTTCTTTTCTCCCTCCCTCCTCTACTTTCTTCCTTCCTCCCCTCCTTCTCCTCCCTTCTTCCCTTACCTTTCTCCTACTCCTGCTCTTCCTCTTCCCCTTCATACCCTCTCTCCTTCTCTTTCTCCCCCTTCCATTCTCCTCTCCTGATCTCTTTCTTCCTTTCCCCATCTTCCTTTCATTCTCTCCAATCCCCCTACACTCTTATGGAGCAATATTTACTTAGAATAGTACGCAGAGATTGTCCAAGCCTTACTTGAAGGCATTTTGAACCTCCACAGTGGATCCCTGCTGCCCAGCTTCTGTTTGTTATGGTTTGGTGATGAAGCCAGTCCTGTACAATTTCATTTCAACCCCCCTCCCCCCCCAAAAAAACAACAATAATAGCAGAAAACAAATCTGGATTGACATTGATGTGAAAAGAAGCTGCCTGAACTGGCAGTAACTCAAGGCAGCACGAGATGCGTTGTGGCTGAAACACATTGCCAACGTGGCTCTTGGCGGACAGGCTGAGTGCATGGAGTCTTGCCATAACTAGCACTGTAACTCTGGCATTTGCCCTCTTCTTAATAAAAAACAGCTGGAGCTGGTGGGGAGAATGTCATTTTTTTTAAAGGAAGCAGCCGACACCAGATTCCCCCCTTCTTATTATTGTCAGCAGAGCCACAGACAAGAGCAATTTGAAGAAGAATGTAGCGGGTGGGGGGGGGGTTGTGAGTTGGGAGAGAATATTATTTGCTGTCCTCTGTTTGAAGTCTAGAGAGTGAAGATTTCTTGGAGAAAGAGGAAGAAGCTCAATACTAACTCATGTTTTTTGCCTGTCTGGCTCAAAAACAGGGATTGGCAGCAGACTTCCTGGATTTCAGATAGGATTTTTTTTTCCAGCCCTACCTGATGAGGCTTGATTGCTCTTTTCTTCTCTATTGGCAGAGAAGCAGAAATTCAGCTAACTCAGGTGTGGATCTGAAGCTGGAAAGGTGCTTTGCTGTGCTTGTTGGAGCCTCCTTCAAGATGCTGTGTCTTTTCCAGAGTTTCCATGGTTGTTTTTTTTTTAATGAGCTGCTGAATCTGAAGCATCTTTCTTACTTTAGATCCAAATACCAGACACCTCTGCTTCTATAGTCAGCATACCAGATGCCGTGGGACAGTGGAGGGATTCTAAATTTTTTACTACTGGTTCTGTTGGTGTGGTTTTGTGGGCGTGGCAGGGGAAAGATACTGCATTCCCTCCCCATTCTCAAAATTTCCACTACCGGTTCTCCAGAACCTGTTAGAACTGGCTGAATACCACCTCTGCCGTGGGAGCTGCATTCAGAAATAAAACTAACTCTAAACATGGAGGTTTAATTAGTCCCTCATGGCTATTGGCCATAGTTACATATTTCCCTTTCTTTTATTGTGAACATGCCCAAGTGTCCATTAAAATTGTCGAGGTTGGTGGTCCATTAAAAACTTTTGGTGGGAAGTTCCAGTGGGTAATGAAATACTGAGATGAAGAATTTTCTTCCATCTGTCCAAAACATGTGACAATTGGTTTCATTAGGTAATCCTGAATTCTTGGTAAATTAATGCAGATTCAATCAGGCTGTTAGTAATGACTCTCTCTGTCCTTTCTCAATGACAAGCCAGGGTACGTTTACGTAACTTCTGTTACCAGGTCAATTAAAGACCTAGCATGCATTGTGCAACAAACTGCATTTGATTACTGTTAACCGAAGTTACTATGGACCAAGCTTTACAGTTAAAATATAGGACCCTCTTCATATCCATCCTCTGTCATGGAAACTCATTAAGTAACCCTGGTTGCTTTCTTTCATCTCAACCCATCTCACAGAGTTGCTGGTCAGGGGACAAAATGGACAGCCCTAGTACGTTGCCTTCAGTTTCTGGGTGGGTGGG